CCGGGGTCCCTGAGCTGAGGCCTGGGCTGTGCTGAGTCTGTTCCGAACCCAGAGCCTCCCTCCTCCAGTCTTCCCGACCTGGAGAAGGCAGTGTTGGGGTAGGGGTCGAGAGATAGGGGCGCGGGGCTCTGGGTTTCTGGGTCTGGATTCCCCTCTGCGTCTGCATCGGTCCAGTCCATGAACCCGGAATGCCAGATTCAGGCCTCACAAAAACCACACTGACCCGGAATGCCAGATTCAGGCCTCACAAAAACCACACTGCAGTACTGGCAGAAGGGTTCAGGAATCTGTGTTTAAATAAAACAAGTGCCAGCCGGGGCATGGTGGCGCATTTCTGTAATTCCAGCACTTGGGAGACTGAGGCAAGAGGATTGCTGTGAGTTCGAGACCAGCCTGAGCTATATAGTGAGTTCCAGGTCAGTCTCAACTATATAGTGAGACCCTGTCTCAAGAAACAAAACAAAACAAAATAATAAAATAAAACAAGTGTCCCAAGTGATCCTGATGCAAATAGCTCGCAGACTCCACTTTGAGAAACTCTGCTTTGGCTGGAGGATCAATTTTGGGCAGTATCTTGGGGAAAGAAAACAGGGGAAGCCTGCACCGCAGAGTTCTGAATACAACATCTGGTTCTGGTGCCATTCATCCATTTGCTGATTCAGTTGAAGATTGGCCGAGCCTGAGTCTCAGGTCTTTCTGCCTTTCAACCTAAAGATCTGTGAGAGTGGATGAAAGGTCTTGATCTTCGTAGAAGAGAGGCTGGCTGTAGGGCTTGGCTGTGTTGGCTTTAGGTGGGGCCAGGATCCAGTTTTGAGTAGGAGGTTACTCTTTACCTCTTGATGGATTGGGGTGCTTAAGTGTGTGGGGTCCAAGGAGACCAGGCTGTACCTGTGGGTGGAGCTCATTGTCATGGCTGAGGGGGTCCAGAGGTCTACCTTGGGACGGCTCCCACAGCTCAGCCCCGGAAGGTCTTAGGGGAAGATGCTGATGCCCCAGGCACCTGGCTTCCTGCCAGGGCTTGGCCTTCTGAGCCCGTCCTTCCCACCTACACAAGGGGTGGGTGTGGTATAGCACCCTTGGGTGTCTGGCAGTGAAATGATGCTTCCAGGCCTGCTCTGCCAGTCAGATGCTCTGTGAGCCAAGACAAACTCTTCTCCTTGGGTTTCAGTTTCTTTATTTAAACCTGTAATCTGAACAGGCTTGCTAAGCACAATCCTGCTAAAAATACATTTGGTTGCCTATAATACAAAAACCTGAATTTGGTGCTTGAGTTGCATGATGCTCTGGCTCCTGTTCTTTCCACCTTAGGAAACCTTGCTCTGCCCATGCCTCACTCTTTTAGACAGTTTCTTCTGCCTGTGATGCCTTTCTCCACTCATCTCACACGCAACTCAGATAGCTGTGTACCAGACTCGATTCTAAGCTCCAATCCTGTAGTATCTTAGTGGTCCTCAGGCCTCAGTGGTGCATGAGAATCACCTGGATGGCTTATGGAGAAATCCACTCTCTAGAAATTTTGATTCCTAAATTTGGTGTAGGACTGGACAATTTGCAATTCTAGCAGGTCCAGGAGCTTACTGGTTTCAGAGCCTCACTTTGAGAACTGTTGCATCATTTCATTTAATTTTTTGCATGAGATAGCTATTACTGTTTGAGCTACATACTCTTCCCAGTTTTAGAGTGGGTCTAAACACATGCTTGCTTGGCCCCATCTTCTTGGCATTAGGAAGGGAAATATCCATTTACTTCCCTTGCAAAGGCATTATTTGATAGACCACACCCTGGGTCTCAGGACAGTTAAGTGACTTGTCTTAGGTCTTATAGCCCTTAGGAGGAGATGCAGGGAACGATCGAGGCCTTCCTTCCATCAAGGGACTTCTCATTCTCTCTCCTATGGATGAAATGTCTAGCTTTTGCCCCAGGCATTTCTTCAGAAAATGCAGCCTCCAGCTTTGGAGCTAGGCAGCCTCTGGCAGGTGCAGCTGCTGACTGAGATCTTGAGAAACCTCGGGACTACACTGCCTCATCCTCCCACTCAGTTCTGCTGCCCACGGCCCTGCCTTCATTTGCAGCCCCATAAAGGCCAGGCAGCAGGTAGCTGGGCTCAGCTACTCCCTTGGTCCTTCACCTTTGGAGTTTTCTCTGCTGCCTCCATCAGAACCCCATGGCCATGACACAGCTGCTTCTGCTCATCGTGGCTCTCCTGGTCCTGGGCCACGTGCCACCAGGTAACCTCCCCTCTGTGTGTGTGTGCGCTGTGTGCATGTGTAAACTGAGGAATGGGCTGTCAGGCCCCGGAACACAGTAGGGCCTAGGTCAGCTTTTAAATTCTGGCTCCACCAATGACTTGATGGGCAGCTTAAAGCAAGTTGCTGAATCAGCCTGCACCTGCCTGTTTCCTGGTCTGTGAAATGGGATTCTCTTAATATTCATTCAAAAACATTTATTATGTGTCCAGCACTATTAGGATTGCTGGGATTTGACAGTGAAAGAAAAATAAAATCTTTGCTTTCATGGAGCTGACATCTTATTTGGCAGAAATAGAAAAGAGACAGCTAAATATAGAATGTGTCAAGTGATAACAAATGTTAGGAATAAAGGCAAGGTAAGGGGCTCAGCAGCATGTGTGGGTGGGGAATGGGAAGCTGATCAGGTGGACAAGGAAGGCATCTCAATGGGCTCTTTTTTTAAAGTTTATTTTGGAAAATATTTCTAGTGTATCTGAAAATAGAATAATATAATGAACAAGACTTCTGTTTTGTTTGTTTTTGCAATACTGAGAATCCAACCCAGAGGTGCTCTGTTACTGAGCTACACCCCATCCTTTTTGCTTTTATTTTGAGGCAGGGCCTTACTAAATTGCCCAAACCACCCTCAAACTTTCAGTCTTTCTGCCTCAGCCTCCCAAGTAGCTGAGATTACAGGTGTTTCTCACCATGCCTAACTCTGTTTGTGTGTGTGTGTGTTTGTGTGTTGAGATCAAACCCTGAGCCTTGCACATGCTAAGCACATTCTCTACCTCTGAGCTGTAACCTTAGTCCCCAAAGGCAAGTTAAAAATGTTTTTATTATGGAAACATTTAAATTTATGCAAAAAAGGGAATAATGTAATGATGGGAGTTTTGAAAATAAACTTTCTTATTTTAGAAAATTTCAAACAGTTATGAAAAATGGTATAAATATTCTCTATGCACTTATTTCCCAACCAGAACACTTAGGGACTTGAACCGATCTAGTTTTGTTACTTCCTCCATCTCCTCATCAGCCAGTTATTTGTAAGTATATCCCACTGATCATATCACTTTGTTTAAAGTGGGTCTGAGCAAAGTTCTGAATCAGCCAAGGACACAGAGAGATTGTTCTAGCAGGTAGGAACAGCAAGGGCAAAGGGCCTGAGGCCAGAAGGGTGAGAGCCATTGTTCGAGGAGCCATGGAGGCCAGTGTGGCTGGAGTAGGGAGTGCAAATCAAGTGTGGGATGCCAAGTCTTGGACACCCAGAGGAAAATAACAGCTCTGGGGTCTTGGGCTGCCTGGAAGTTCAGTTGTGATGTCTGCTGGAGTAGTCAGAATGGGGACTGGCCTGACCTGGGAGTCAAGGGCTTGGGTTCTATTTCCAGACTCATCACTTAGCAGCAAATGCTCTTGAGCAGGTCCTCTTCTTTCTTTACTTGGAAAGTGAGTTTACCTTTAGAAAGTAATCTCTAACTTGTAACCAGGGGTCTAACCTGTGATCTGTGGGATAACCAGGACTGAAATCCGTAGTCTAAATTGTAACTGGAACTCTTATCTATGGTCAGCAGTCTAACAAATGACCAGAAAGAACCTATGCCTAGCGTGGCTTCACCAGAGCCCTAACTTGTGATCAGTGGTGTGACATGAAACTGCTGTGCTTCTCTGTGATCTGTGGTCTTCCTTTACACAGGGAGAACTGAATTCAAACGGTGCTGGAAGGGCCAAGGGACCTGCCGGACGTACTGTACAAAACAAGAATCCTTCATCCACCTGTGCCCGGATGCGTCCCTGTGCTGTCTCTCCTACATGTTCCGGCCCTCGCGTCCCCCCATGCCTGACAATGAGTAGCTGCTTCTGGACCGAGCACCCTTGCTCGCCAATGAAATACAGGCTGCCAAATTGCTTTTTGTTCAGCTCTCCTCTGCACAGGGATGGGAACAAAGTCCAGGGTGTGGGAGAGATGGTGGGTGGAGGGAGGGAAGGTGCCCGGAGAGAGTAGGTATTATTACTATTGTAAATGGTTCCGGTCCTGGCCAAGTCCAACTCTGGAACAAATTACTTAACCTCTGTAAACCTCCTCTGCCTCTTCATCCATAAAATGAGGATAATTATAATAGGAGAAGATTAGGACTTTATAGGAGGAATTCAAAAAACAAGGCTGAGTTCACAAGGAGTCAATAATAGCAATAGTCAATAGTAATAATGAGTTGGTAATGTAAGAGTTAATACTAATGGAGTCAGCAATGAGCATCTGGCATCAGAATGAGACAGTATGTTGGGTTTGAATGGTGTCCCTGTTGAGAGCGGGAGGATTTTTCTATGCCCCTTGCCTCCTGTTTTAGCACTTAGAATTTCATGAAAGCAATTTTCACACAAGCAGAAAGCAGCATTAGAGGGAACTGTGCCCCTTCCAGGCCTGTGGCTCCATGCATGGGACAGGAAAACAGGGAGAAATGTGAATAGAGTCAGGAGGTAGACAGACAGATATGTGGTTTGACTCCCCTGCTTTCCTTAGGATTGCATTTCTGAAAAAACAAGAAGCAATTAGCACATGAAAAGAAATTTAGAGATAGATAGCCACTGTGTCAGGGTAAGCAGTGCTGCATTCTCCCGGGTCACAGTACAACCACTAAGCCTTCAGGTCTCATAGCTTGTTTAGAGCAGGGAAGGGTTGGTTGGGGATGCCACACCTTTTGTGAAGAAGGCCAATATTTTCTCTAGACCCCACCCCCAACAGATTTTTCTCACTTTTCTGGGGCCATAGCTGTGTCCCATGGCCACTGTTGGTGTAAGAGGGGTTTTGCTTTTCCAGCCTCTGCCCATCTTTTCCTTGGAAAGTAGCGCAGAAAAAGGCAAGAATGTTGGATAAGTTGAGGACCATCAAGCCCTTTTGTCCACTATCCTTTGAATTTTTAAAAAATTTCCGTTTTTTGTTTTTTGGTATCGGGGATTGAACTCGGGACCATGTGCTTATGAGGCAGGTGGTGGAAACACTGAGCTAAATCCCTGGCCCTTGTTTGTTTGTTTGTTTGTTTCTTTCTTTCTTTCATTTTTTTGGTACCGTGGATTGAGCTTGGGCCCTTGCACTTGCAAGGCAGGTGGCAGAACCATTGAGCCAAATCCCTGGCCTGTTCACTGTCCTTCAACAAGATACTTCCCAGCAGAAGGGGTGCTGATGTGGTGGCAGGAGCGGTTTTGGAGCCACCTGCTATGCCAGGTGCTAATCCCTTAGTTTCTGGTCTGAGAAGAACTTCTGATGTGGCAGAGGCAGCTGGAACAGAGGAAGGAGCTTCCAAGGGGCTTGGGAACAACTATTTATCAACCAGGATGTGGCACTGACTGGCCCCGAGCACAAAGCGAGCCACCTAGGTAGCACTGCTCCCCTTCCTCCCTTGGTTCCTGGGTGGTCCAGGTGCCAAACTGAGAGCCAGGGTTCATGGTGGGAGTGGAGGTGTGGCTAGCTAAGAACCCCGAGAGGCCAAGAGAGCTGTGTGAGCACTATGAGATATGAACCTGGTGTTATCATTAGGCTTTGAGGAGTCAGAGAGACCAAACCAGCTCGCTAGCAGCCAGATGTAGCTGGAAAGCCAGTGTGTGTTCTTAGTGCCAGGCCCAAGCCCCACCCAGACCCCAGCAGATGGCAGCCAGCACCAGGCCAGGCAGCTGCCTCACCCTTTCCCAGCTGCTGTATTTGGGAGGGTTGAGTGGGGAGGAGGAATCTGAAAGTCTGAGGAATCACAGTGAAGAGAGCAAACCTCTTTGAATCCAGGAAATCCCAAGTGAATGTTTAAATTAGTGGATCGCACCGAGTCTCAAACTGGATTGAAATAAACTTAGTTCTGTACTCTGACACCTCCCACTTAGTTGCGGGAAAGAATAAAACAGCCAGGTTTTCTGAGGCTTAGAGGTAGTGTGTGAGAATTTGTGACTTTCTTGCAGTGAAGGTTCAAGTTCACACCCCAGCTCTGTGACATACATACAGGCCACAGGCCACAGGCCACAGTCCATGGGGCTAGGAAGAGTCACTAAGTATGATGTTATGTTCCTTCTCTGCAAAGTGGCATCATGACGTCCTGTAACGGGGCAGCTCTGGGTTGGAGATCACTGGGCACCTTGTAAGTGCTCAGTAAATGCAAGGGGCTACAATTGCTGGTGAGCAAAGGAGCAGCCACCGACCACCTTCTCTGTGTAATTCCACTTTCCTGTGGAAAAGTCACGGGAGTAGGACAAAGAATTCCCGTAAATCTTTAAGCTAGTTTTCCCAATTTTACCTCATACGTGTGCCTTTCTCTCCTTTTACATACATACAAATATACTAAAAATATAATGTACAACTTTTCTCAACTGCTTTGAAAGTAAATTGCAGATGTGATATCCCTTTATAGCTAAATATTTCAGTGGGTTTTTCTAAAAACAAAGAACACACACACACACACACACACATACACACACATACATATATATTTAACTTGAAGTGATCCTCTGGCCTCAGCCTTCTAAATTCTGAGACTATGGGTGTGCAACACTGCACCTGACTTCAAAGGCATTTTCTTATATAACCATACACAATATGATTATAAAATCAGGACACTGACACTCCGAATTTATGTAAATTTCACTCTATTTCAGTGAAATCCTTTATAGCAGAAGAAAATCCCGGAAGCCTGCATTGAATTCAGTTGCTTTGTTTATCTCCTTTAATCTGGAATAAGTGCCTGGTCTTTCATGACAGTGACAGTTTTGGAGAGTCCAAGGCAGTTATTATGTGGAATGTCCTTCAGTTTGAGCCTGCCTGGCCTTTCCTCATGACTGGATTCACTCTCGTGTTTTTGGCAGATGCACGACAAAATGATGCTGTTGTGTCTTGCAGTGTGTCATGTCAGGGACAGCCATTGGACTTCTGAGGGCAGAAGCCAAGACAAACAGGCTCAATCATTTTCTAAAATTTAAACCTCTAATGGGACATGTGCTTAGGCATTTCCCACCCACTGGTCTAACAGACCCTCAGCTAAGCCCCACCCAAACTCCTAAGTCGCAAGGGCACACTCATAAGCCAAGGAGCCATGCCAGTTCTAGGGTGGAAGGACGCTCAAAATTCCTCACAGATGAAGTTTACCAGCCCAGAGAAAGAGGGTGACTGTCCAAGGCCACACAGCTTCTGGAAGATAGAACCAGGACTTGGACTCAAATCTCTGGACTTTGAGTCAAAGCTGTTTCCGAGAAAGAATGATAGCCACGCACTGGTAGGACAGGCCAGTGTGAAGGGGACACCCCTTGTCACTGGAGGTGTACTGGGTAGGCCATGTGGGTGACAGAGGCTGGAGAAGGGGTTCTTGTTCTGGATCACACTTAGAAGTTACTATTCCTGGGCCGGGGATTAGCTCAGCGGATCGGTGGCCTGCCTCGCAAGCACAAGGAACTAAGTTCGATTCCCGGTGCCAACAAAAGAAGTTACTATTCCAGATTTCTGACTCTACTAAAAGAGTCACTGAATGGCCAAGATGATAACATCAGTTACCCTTCAGCAGGTACTAATCCCTGTCCCCACATTGGCGCACTCAGTTCTCACAGTCACTCGAAGTGAGCGTCTTTGCCTTTTCTTTAAGGCAGCTGAGGTGCTGAGCAAGAGGTGAAGAGGTGAAGCTGACTCTTCCCCATCCTGCAGACATCCGATTTTGTCTCTGGGTCATTCTTGTTTGTACTTAAAAATAACGTTTTTTTCTTTTTTAAGTAGCTGTTTTCCTTTTATTTAAAAGGCCATCTCTATTCAAAATTGATGGTAAAGTCAGAAATGTGATTCATTCATTTATTTCTTGGCTTGAAGTTGGGAGTCAACTTTCATCAGTAAGATAGATGGTAGCCAAGTTGATTTCTGTCTCCTACCAGAAACCTTGCAATTACATCAGTTAAGAAGAGTTAACCATGTCAATTTCTCTTTCAGAATTGCTCAAAGAAATGTCCAAGTTCTCTTAAAACACAAATGCCTACTGGGTAAAAGTGTGGCTCCGTGGTAGTGTACCCGCTTAGCATCCTTGAGGCCCCGGGTTCAATCTTCAGTATCAATTCATACCAATCAGACACAACATGTACATACAAGCCTGCAAAAAGGGATATAAAAAATTGACTCCCTTGAAGACAAGCAGTATAAATCGCCTTGGTAATAGAACATATTATCAGATGTGAGAAAATAAAACACTTTGGCAACCTTCTCTGCTTGTCCTCATAACAATTCTGGGAGAAAAGTGAAGTAGGGATGACTATTTCCTTTTGAAGAGGACAAAGCAGGCTCAGAGAGATTCAGTCATTTTAGAGTCCCGCTGCTGGTTAGTGGAAGAGAGGGATTTCTTTCCATGTCTCCAAATTGCCCTCAACACGCTCACACAGTCAGCCATTAATAGCCACGGATTCAACCGACCACATATCAAAATATTTGAAAAAAATTGCGTCTACAGAGAACATGGACAGACTTATTTTTTCTTGTCACTAGTCCTTAAACAGTGTTATATAACAAATATCCACATAGCATTTTCATTGCAGTAGATATTGTAAGTAATCTAGAAATAATTTAAAGTATGCAGGATGATTTATGTAGGTTATGCACAAATATTATACCATTTTATATAAGGGATTTGAGCATCCATAGATTTTCTTATACAAAGGGAACACTGGGACCAATCCCTCCTGGATAACAAAAGAGTACTGTACTCTGGTTTTAGTGGTAAAACACAAAAATCACGAAGAAACAATGCCCTGCACACAGCAGGGACTCCATTAATACCTATCGGTGGCGGCAGCAGTGGCCCCAGCGTTGGTTATAGTGGCAATGACATGGCAATGGCGACGATGATCATGAGGATAGAGAGCACAGGCTCAGGAGACCGGAAGTGACGAATGTTAGGGCGGTTCCCCCGAGTCCCATCCGTACCGGTCCGTCTGTGCAGC